ACAGCAGGAACTCATTAGCATATTGGGCCACACCCCTGACAGCACAGCTCATTAACACATTAGGCCGCACCCACATGTTACCAGAAGTGTGGTTATCCAGCCACACCCACCTTTTGCTTGTTATTCTGTTTACCTTGTTTGTTGTCAAAACCCAGGGCCTTTTTTGTAGCAGGAACTCCTTTGCATGTTAGGCCACACACCCCTAATGTAGCCAATCCTAATGAGTTTCTGCTGTTGGGTGTGGCCTATTATGCTAATGAGTTCCTGCTGGGCGTGGCCAACTTGGGAGCCAGCCGGAACTCCGTTCCTGTGCGCTCCTGCCCCAAAATAGTTCTGCTTATAAGATTGTACACGGATGTTTTTCCTGGAAGGGAGACTGGCTTTTAAAAAAAACAATCTTTGTGATCCAGACTGTATTTTCTAAGTTTAAAAAGCCGATGGCCTACATCATTTCAAAAACAGGCGTGAGAAGACAAAGGAGAGGGAACAAAAGAAACGAGAGAGAAATAGTCACCTTTTCTTACCATATTTCATTCTTTTGGCTTTCATTAGTTGCTGTCGTCTGCTGACAACACTACAGTCCTCCCACACAATCCTCCCCAACACCAATTATTCAGTACAGGATTAACACATTTCCAATTAAAATATTAAAACGGGTCTGTGGCCCTCATTTGCAAATGGGCTGTGACTTTCGGAATCACAGCTGCACATACATATTCATAGCATTCAATAAATAATTGCCCTGTTTAAAAATTACATTTGGAGCTCCACTGTCACAATGCCCTGCTTCCACTGGTTCCTCTAGGCATAATATCAAAGGAATAAAGGTGACCAGCAGTTCAGGAAGATACTACAGAAGCTGGTAACTATATGGAAATGAATCTATTATCCCCAAGGCTGGTGGGAAGCCTTCAGTTCTACTTCCCTAAATTTCTGTGGAGCTTTTGTATTCATGGGGCTTGTGTGCATTTTGTAGGAATACTGCCCTATTGTTTCTCCGAGTGCTAAACTAATTGTCTTGACAATGATCTTTAAGTGTTGCAAAGTACCTCACTATTCTTTTAAACTGTTCTATTAGGCTCCATTAAGCTTAAAATAACAGAGATGGTATTGAGGGATAATTGTGGACGTCATTGAAAAAAAATAGGGATCCGCTGAGGCTGACAATGACTTCAAGTGCTTTCATAAATCAGCTCTTAACTGCTGCTAATCTGCATCATGTTGATGCAATCCAGATCTGCCAAGGATAAACATATGCCTTCCACATCTGTTGCAGGCAGATAACACTCCTTGAAAAGGGGTCACCCAGTTTTCTTTGGTTGCATAGGGAAATTGCCGCTCTGTCCAAATGTGCGTTCATTTTCTGGGGTTATGTGTCTGAACAATCTCCTTGCTGGTGTAAATTAAGAAAAGGAATACTTGCTGTTGAGTCAGAGAGAAAGTAAAAACATATTTTTAAACTGTTTTGCATAATCGGGATGGTGCCAAGATATACTGCAGAATCCCTGATAATCTCCACTATGCAGTTCAGATGATAGGGTTAGGACAGAGGTCCCCAGCCTTTTTGAGGCCAAGAAAGGTACCTTATATACAATCCTGGCTGGGATAGCTACACCCATAATGTTTACAACAACCAATCACATTAGGTATATTACATCCAATCACAATCAATACATAACGTCCAATCAAACCCATTCCCTCCAGAATGCACACCATTGGTCAGTATTTACAATCCGCATAATGAGTGGTGCTAGAGTATGCTTCACCATTATGTCTCCCAAGACATAACAATACTAGCAAGCCAACTCCCAATGCACTGTTAGCATCTCGGACCCAGCTAGTGGATGGAGAGGGCCAGGAGACTGACTGACTATCTACCTGTCTGTCTGTCTACCTATCTATTGCATTTATATCCCACCCTATCTGATGATGGTCTCAGGGTGGCTCACAACAGAGATAAAACAATAAATATATGATTAAAAACCAATTAAATAAAACAAGATGGCAGCAAAAATAACATCAGTGCAGAGCAGCCTAATATGCTTCTTGTTACGTGGTAGCAGGATAGTAGGTCTCTGTAGGCCCACTTTGGGCAGGGGAGGCCAAGATGGTAAAAAACACCCACTACCTCAACCAAAGGCCTGGTGGAACAGCTCCACTTTACAGGCCCTGCAGAATTGTAGCAAGTCCCGCAGGGCCCTGATCTCAACTGGGAGCATGTTCCACCAGGTGGGGGTTGGGGCTAACCAAATGTCCTTCAGGTCAGGGACTACTAGTAGGTGTTGTTCAGTGGAGTGCAAGACTCTCCGGGGCATATATAGGAAGAGATGGTCCCAAAGGTATGCTGGTCCCAGGCCGTGCAGGGTTTTAAAGGTCAACAGCATAACCTTGAAATGGATCCGGTACTCAACTGGTAGCCAGTGCAATTGGCGTAGCGTTGGCTGAATGTGCACCTGCACTGACAACGCTATCAGCAAGCGTGCTGCCGCATTCTGCACCAGCTGGAGTTTCCAGGTCAGGTTCAAGGACAGCCCCAAGTAGAGTGAGTTACAGTAATCCAGCCTGGAAGTGACCATTGCATGGATCACTGTAGCTGACCTGCTGCAGATGATAAAAGGCAGACCTGGCAACAGTGGCGACCTGGGCCTCCACTGAAAGTGAGGCATCCAGGATCATCCCAAGGCACCTCGCTCTCAGCACCGGCATCAAAGCCCCCCCCCCCCCAAGTGTCATGAGCTGAATTCCCGATCCCAAACCCCATGACTCTGATACAGGACCTCTGTCTTCTTTGGGTTTAATCTCAATTGGCTGTGCTGTAACCAACCAGCCATGGCTCCCAATGCCCTGTCCAAATTATCTGGGGCAGAATCCAGTTGGTCATCCATCAGCAGACAAAGCAGGGTTTCATCAGCATACTGGTGAAAACCCAGCCCAAACCTCTGGACCCACTGGGCATGGGGGCGCATGTAGGTGTTAAACAACATCTGAGGGAGAACCACTCCCTGTGGCATTCCGCAATCCTGCAGGTATCATGGAGGCACTCTCTCCCTGAGCGCCACCCTCTGTCCCCAGCAGAGCATAAGTGTTCTATACCACTGTCCCCAGTGAAGCTGCTAGTGCCTCAGGAATTTTGCTGCTTGGACCGAGAACTGGACCTCCGTGCAAAACAAAAGGGTCTGGTGTGCTGCTGTTCAGTGCACATGCCAGGAGTTGCCTACCTTTGTTTCACATCATGGAAGATCATGAAAAGGCAACTTCCTCCTCCACAGTTGGAAACAAGTTTACTTTCAATTTCCTGTTTGCTACTGTGACATCAAATGGGCAAACTATACGATTGGATCCCATGGAGGATTTTCTACAGATGGAAGGCTCAATGGGTTTTTTTGTAATGGGCTAAACAGTTCCCCGAATCATTTCAGTTCATGGGTACAGTGCAGGTGGTAAGGTTGCCATTCCCCTGGTGGGGCGGGTACAGTGCAGGTGGTAAGGTTGCCATTCCCCTGGTGGGGCCAGGGGATCCCCCTATTTTGGGCCCCCCAATCTGCCATGGCCCAGTTGGCTGACAGGGGAAGCCCCACCCTGAGAAGCCCCCTCCCGACAACACTGGTTCCAGCATGATGATGTCACCCAGTGTCAGTTAGCACTGCCATTCTCCGGAATGTGTGTGGGGGAATCCACCTTGCCTCTGCCTGTTACACTAACGAAGTCTACTGACTGGGTGCGTTCAGACGGGGGCTTTCTGCCAGCATAAACTGCACCGGTTCGAACTGGTGCAGTTTATGCCGGCAGAAACGCGATCAGACTTACCTCCATTTTGCGGATCCCTCCGCTGTACGCCCGCTCACATGCTGCGGGCGTCGGCGAGGTTTTTTTTAAACACAGTTTGAGCATGCGCATAGGCAGCCATTCACAGAATGGCGATCTTTGCGCATGCTCAACCCCCCCATTACATTTAAACTTTAAAGGTAAGGACTTACCTTTAAAGTTTAAAGCCCAACCTGGCCTCCCTTAAGTCCCGGACTCCTCCGGGAAGTTAAACTAAGGGCTTTTTTAAAAAAAACAAACGCTCAGGGCGAAGCTTCGCCCGAGCGCATATTGCCTAGTTTTTTTTAAAAAAAATGGCGGGGGAAAGCCGGAAGCCTCAGGCTTCCGACGGAAATGGCTGTGTGTGGAATGGTGGAGACCGATCAGACGCCGGGGTACACCGTTTACAACCATTGCACTCAGTATACCACCACTTGGGACCTGGTGGCAGAGTGCAACGGTGTAAAGGGCTTTACACCGGTTAGGGACAGGAGGCAGATGTGCCCCGTCTGAACGCCGGTGAGTACAACGGTTGGAACCGGCACCCTAACCGATATAAAGCCCCCATCTGAACGCACCCTCTGAGTTTTATCTGCTTTTGCTTTCCTGACCTTGGGATGTAGCAGCTGCTGCTGACTCACTGGGAACAAACGGCTTCTACTTTTGCCCGCTCTATTTCCCCCCCACATGTGGACTTTGCTTATTGGCTTTTGCTTGTAAGGGGGGTGTTCTGAACCTAGTGTAATTCAGGGCGCCCTGATGCTTTGGGCCATTTCTGACACAAGAAGTACACATGTCATAGTTATGAAATACCAATAAACAGAATTCTTCTTATGAAGCGCTGTGTGGTGTGACCTGGCTATCGAACCCTGACATTGTGTAAGGTCATTGTGTTTCCAACTTTGGGGTTGACGTTCTAGGTTTTGGGCAAAACTGTATGGTTTTGAGGCCTCCAAATCTTGAAACTATTTTGGCTTCTTCTAACATCCGTTTGATCTTTTATCCCACCAGAAGCATCTGTTTTTGTCTTGACATTTTGTTGTAGATAGAATCCAGTGGCATTTTAGTCACAATATTTGATATAGACATTGTGGTTTTATACTACAGTTTGCATTTGGCTTTTCAGTATGGGCTGGTGTCACATATTCAAAATCATTCTGCAAATTACTGTACAGATTTTTTTTTCCGCCTCAAAGGTGCAGCACTTGTTCTGGAAGAGGCAACAAAACCTGTATGACATGTCAAGGGGAGAAGAAGTTGCTACATTTCATCCAGCTCATAATCACTTGGTATGTGGTCTTCTTGCTATTTATATTGTTTGACTACTAAAGACTCTCAAAAATACCAGCAGTGCAGTCTTAAACAGAATTTCAACTGAGATTGCACTACAAAGCTCTCTGTGTTGAATATTCAGGTATATTCAGATTCATTTAATGAACACACACACAAGTATTGATCCTACGAACTTTCCACTTGCACAAGAGGGAGACGAGTGATTTCACTTCCTTTCATTTCTTTACTTCAGATTTCTGTGCCAGGTGGTGTATTGTCCACAAGACTCGCCTGACTTCTATAATAGGTTTTATTTATTTATTTATTTATTTATTTATTTATTATTCCGATCTTTACCCCACCCTCCCGGCTGAAGCTGGCTTAGGGTGGCTTACATAAAAACAGGTAATGGAATTGAAACATAAGTTACAGTTAAAACAAATTCCAAAATCATACTAAAGTGCTAGTTGTTAATATTCATACAATAGTAGCAGCCAATAACCACTGTACAAAGTTCTTATCTCACAGTCAGCTCTTAGTGCTTGTTTGGGATGTTCTTGCAGGACTTGCTGTTCTTTAGGCTGTTGGTGGCAATTCCAGAGTCCAGGGCCAGCTGATGTTCTTCACTGGTGGTGGCGGCTCCCAAAGGTCTGGTGGAAGAGCTCTGTTTTACAGGCCCTGCGGACCTGTAAAAGGTCCCGCAGGGCCCTGATCTCCTCCGGGAGCTCATTCCACCAGGCTGGGGTGGGGGTGGGGGAGATCATGGGAGGCTACTGA